TACGGGGTGGAATTGTACCCCCCTCTTGGACAGCTAGCTTGGCTTGTGTACGGGCTGGAATTGTACCCCCCACCCACCGGATAAACTTAATTGGTATTATGAAAATGAAGTAGTAGAGAATGCCTTCTACAGTGACATATGTGGATTTTCAAACCTGTACAGAATATAGTGATTGTAATAAGGAACTATAATTGTGAAGAGATTATCCAAAAATCTGGCTACGCCACTTTACTTCGCCTCGGGCTATATGCATATTTTATTTATTTATGCATATTTTAAATCACGTTTTCGGTAAATTACCACGTTGTAATGTTGAATCCGAGATCGCAAGAGATGATAACAAACAGCGTTGCCGTAATCGTGGGAGATGACGACAAATTTGCTGTGATCGTTTGGGATAACTGTGATGTTCTTGTGATCGCAGGATATACCCTGTCGCCTTCCTAGTGACTTAATAAAAGGCCAAGCAATATGGAATAAACGTTTACGAAATTAACGCTGAGCGTGATTCCCTCATGGACAAAGCGTCTAAATAATTTTATAACCCAAGCTGATTGATTTTTTTAAAACGATACACGCAGTGCAAATCCAAACAAACTTTATTTTCAAGAGGAGTCGCAAGCAGCGAATTTCGTTTTGGTTATATACGTTTGAAATAACCGTGAAAATAAGTTAATGTATTTCATTTTTGTTCATTCAAACATAATATGCATTATTGTTCATTCGGTAACAAATTATGAACAGTTATTACTGGCAAAGGTGGACAAAATACCTGTTGTAAAATTTAAAGGTATCTGGTACAAAGTATTTCACAGTTTGTCAAAGTTTTAACCTTTGTGAATTTAAGCTAACCCATGAACAGTTAGTACTTGGGAAGGTTAAGAAAATATTAATGAATAACGTACAAAGAAGTATGTTAGGCCTCTCGAACGTTACTCGGAATGGCCTTAATTTGCAGTTTCTTAGAATATCCTTTCTCATCAAGCAATTCACTAGGTGTCGGGTAACTTGGTTCAGTTCACTTTCGTTTGCTTCCCCTGTAATATCCAACATAAATATTGTTTTGATTTTAGTTGGTAATCATAATAGACAAGCTCCTCGGTTAAATGGGGGGGGGGGGGGTACAATTCCACCCCGTACACTGGTCAAATAAAAGTGAGTTCTAACTGAGGGGGTATAATTCCAGGGGGTACAATTCCGGTCCGTACAGTTTTTTAGATGCCAGTGGATTTAATCAAACCACTCGTGCATAACAATATCAAAGTTTTATGAGGGGGGTACAATTCCAGCCCGTACACGCCGTTTTGGTCAAGAAAATGAGACGTCATCGTGACGTCACAAACCTGCAGGGGGTACAATTCCAGGGGGGTACAATTCCCCCACCCCCTTACCAGCAATGCCTTTATGATAGTTTGTTAACTATGTGATTGTTATGCCACGTGTGATAATAATAATTATTTTCAGTTATCAAATCAAATCAAAACATACGTATGGCATCGTCATATATTTACATCACCTTAAATAAATGATAAATTCGTATCCATCAATAGAGATTTCAAATGCCCTTTGAATTTTTTATCATTTAAACATTTTACATTATGTGGCAGCAAATTAAATATTTTCTTACCTAATTCAAAACTAGATTTACAGTAATTGGTAGTCTGATACGTAATTACATTGGTGAAGTCTGATAAAATGGCTCTGTCTGGTAAAGTATGAATGCACTGAATTGTTGGCAGGAATATTATTAAGATTTTCTTCAATGTACAACCATAGAATAAATAAACACAATATTACTTCATATACTTTATATTACTTCATCTATGGTACAACAAAGAATCCAGTAAATATAATGAAGGTATAGTTAGCACACGAAGTTTTCTAAACAAATTAGTTTTTTTACAATGAGTTTTTCTTTTTACTTTAAAAAGATTCTTAAAGCTTTCTTCTGCAAAATCAATAATTTTTAACGCTGCTGTCACATCCCCACTCTACAATTAAATACGATAGGTGACTCTGAATGTGAGCAAAGTATATTGACATCAGAACATCAAAATCAACAATCAACCTGAGACGTCTAATCATGAAAATACCTCAACACACTTTTTTGCACACACTGGCAACATGATTATTCCATTTAATGTTATAATAGGTTGCAGAACTATACCTAGAAATTTAACCTCTTCAGGTGTGTAGTGAGCACAAGAACTTACGTTAAATTTGAGGATTTGAGTTTTCTTCTCGTTGAGACACAGAAAATTTGCAGCCGTCCAGTTCTCAACAGTCACGTTGATATTATTGAGAATTTGGTTAGCTAAATTATCATTTGAGAAACTTATCTGAACTGCAAGGTCATCAGCGTACATGTATGGCGATACACAAACATTACTTAAAGCTACTTGTAAATCATTAACATATATTATAAACATAGTTGGACCAAAAATTGAACCTTGCGGAATACCTGTGTCAACCTTTAAATACTGAGAGGAACTACAATAAAAAAAAAATACTCATTGATATCTGTCTGACAAGTATGACATTACTAACCTAACTGACAGGTTGTCAAAACCATACAACTCAAGTTTTCTTAACCAAAACATCATGGTTTATAGTATCAAAGGCCTTGGACATATTATAAAATATGTCATTATAAAGTATAATATATTAAATACTTATATATATTATACTTATAATATATATATTTATATAATATATTATAAGTATAACATATTATAAAGTATAATATAATATTGGTATCAAAATCAATTTCATAAGCATATATTCATAAAAACCACTAATGTAATGTTTAAAATTCATACTAAATGTTTTTTAGAAACTAGTGCGGTTCTCGTTTGGTTCCTTGTTTATCTCTATCTGGATCTCCTTCTCCTATCTGTGATGTGGTGAGGATTAATTACTTTTGTCGCCCCTACTCAAGGCCTCACCCGCAACTCCTTCCGTGGCATTGAATATATACCCTATATATACCAATGTTATATATAGGGTATATATTCAATGTTCCGTGGTCAGTTTGGTTTTGTAGCATTAATAAGTAATAAACCAATCACCGAACTCAGGTAAAAGTTACGACTCTCGGCTTTTCAAACAATTCTTGTATCTACATAAACATACAGGAAACGTATGGAATGGAATCTCGAGAGCCAAATGAGGTAGTCAATGTACAAGGTACTAAAAATCGCTGCGAGTGTCATTTCTTACAGAGGTCTCTTAATCATTGATCACTGCTTTTGTTCGAAAGAAATTTAGGTTAATTCGTAGATAACTTTATAGATAACTTGTTTATTTATGTAACTACAACTAAGTTTGTTTATTACTCTTTATAAAATTAAATTTAATAAAAAATATGATAATGGATTAAGGAATTAACTTAAGAGACACCTAGCGGTGACTAGACGAACTGTTGCGAACCTCGACGGTAGCACATCTAGCGGTGATTGACCGAACTATCATCTCAGTGCTTCACCAATCTGCAATGCTATTATGATAGTTTGTTAAATATGTGATTATTATGCCACTAAACACAACAATATTTGTATTCATTATTTATTTTTATTTTGTTTATTACTCAAATACTAAAAGAAATAGACAGAAGGTGGTATATTGGAAAGTTATTAATCTTTGACGCTTAAAATGATATGCTGTTTGACATACGTTGCCATTTATTTTTTTATTTACAAGGCTACTAACCACAGACAATATAATACTTTAATAACTAACATTTTAAACATAAAATTTTGGTGAAAAGAATAATCATTTTGAAAATTATTACATGCATCATTAAAAAACGGTGTTTGCCGGGATTACAAATTTTCAATCGGAACGGAAAAATGTTTAGCTGTTTTGTTATTATAATCGATAGTAAGTTTATAATTGTTTTTCTTAGTTTCTATAATCAACGGTAAGTGTGTAAATGTAAATGTCATTAACGATTTGCATTTGTTTATTGGCATACTTCTCTGTGGATACTGTAAGTAGATTGTTTAAATTTATTTCTGGTTCAATATTACACTGTTCACAGAAGTTTTAACAAAATGAAAATAAAATAATAACATAAATAACATTGCGGGTTCGCTCAAACTTGAGACACCCTGTAACATAAATTTAGATGCAGGACACAAGTTCGATTTTTTAGGCTTCGTCCAACAAGTCTTGGGGAAGCCTTCGGCGTAATCTTATATTTTCTGTCGTTTCGCCAAGATTGAATGCCAGTGCTCCAGGAACATTGTTTAAAGAATTTAGAAATTTGAAGGTAGATTTTTCAATGAAGGTCGAGACAGACTCTATTCCAAGCTCTTCGTGTATGTGTTTGTTTCTAACGAACCAAGGAGCATTCACAGCTATTCTAAGAATTTTATTTCTTATTACTTTAATTTTGAACAGTTATTTTTTGAAATAGCAAATGTCCAGATAGGTAATGAAACATACATGAGGTACCTAACATACATGTTAGGTACCTAACATGAGTAGACTGTAAGTAGACATGTCATTTACGTTTAACAGATCTACCATCGACTTTGGATACAGCAAGTATATATCCCATTGAAGTGAACCGGATGTAGCTGTAGCATTGTCTTAGGATACTGCAAGTTTTCCCATTGACTTGAACCAGATGTACTATTGACTTTAGGTACTACAATTAGACGTCCCATCAACTCTGGATGCTGCAAGTAGATATTCCACGTATATGAGCCCCCAGCCAATTGGGAACAAACTTTTCGTGGCTGGGGTGGTTACATTATTAGATTTATATACTTGCTCCGCTCGATATTGTATCAGTTACTGCATTACACCTAGTTAAAAATAATTAACAGTCTACATAATAGAAACTCTGCTCGATTTCAGTATTTTTCTTATATTCGTTGTTGCCGGGGCCCAAGACAAGTACTGTACACTACAGGGGGTGGTATATCTCCCGCGGTTTCGCGCCGCTCACGCTTTTGGCGGGTGTCGTCAGTTTAGAGCGGACTCCTGCACCACGATCACGTCCTATAACATTGCGTTTCCCTTTGTGCGATGTAGTTTGAAAACTATTTAATTATTTTAATTCCAGTCGAGTTTATATCGCGAGTCTGAAATAAATAATAGTTGAAATGAGGTTTCTTCTGCTTTTTGTCTTTGGGAGTTTCGGTGAGTGTTTTTAAAGTCGTAGTTTTTCTTTTTGACAAATTTTAAATTTAAGTAGTATTTTTTTATAAGCTATGACAATGATCTGATAGATATTGTTTTATTGATCTGATAGATATTGTTTTTGCTTTAAGCTTGAGTTTTTATTATATAGTCTTCAAACAGTAAAAGGTCGTAAATCAGATTTAAGAAGGGTAAACTGTTATTTAAACCAAACTTTATTCTTTTGTGGCATGGATAATATGTGCAATGTACCTACTGTAAGAATTCAGGTTCAACCATATTCAACTTGTAAATTATGTTACATATTTATTAAAAAAATTGTCTGTAAGTTTGTATGGGTTTTTGCAGTCGGTCTAGGAATCTGCTGTCAAATTGTCTATCGTCGAAAGTATATTTATTAAAATAAACTGACCTGGAATATCCATTCGAATTGTACGAGTAATTTAGTTCATTTATTCTAATTTCTTCAAACATTTTAGGTAATAAGCACACTATATTTGCAAATAAAGTTGATTTAGGTATGTCGTAACAACTTTAAAGTAGAAACCATTTAGTTGTAATACATCTTGCTTATGGGTACTTACTTGCGTCATTGTTTACTTCGAATAGTACATTTATGATTTATTTCTTGCTCACACTGTTAGAAGTACTCTATGTATACTATCAACTGCCTGCCATTTGAGGATAAAATCATATGTTATTAATTGTTATGATCTATTTACTTTCTTGTTTACTTTTTATCAGTTTTGTTCTCAACCATGTTAATAAACCATCAATTGTTTTTCATCTCTTTTATTTTGTAAAAACTAATCACTCATACTATCTATCATTAACACACACAGAATAATAATGCTTAGTGACTATCTTACTTGGTACACTGTAAAACCATGCAGAATATCACAAATCGATATCGTATTATGGTAGATTCAACATGATATTCTTGAAATAGTCTTATACTAAGAATGAATTTGTGTGCATGCGCTTTAATAAAAACAACAATGCATACTTTAGGACTAAGTTTTGACAACATTTTTTAACATATTGATTTTGAACAACTGAAAGAATAGACAAGTGTTGTGTACAAAATTAAAATTGAATTCTTAACAATAAGGGATTTTTTCCTTTTAAATACATGGACTGTGAGTAAAAACATCAACAAAAGAATGAGAATGAAGTCTATTCCTATACTTGTGTATGGTACCGGTATGTGTTTCAAAACGAGCCCAATTCAGCGAAAGGTTTGTTTCGGGCACGAATACACAAAATAAATCGTTTAAATTTTGCAAATTAGGCCTCTAATGCTTCCCAAGTTATGAGTTTAACATGTTTACATGGTTTAAAAAAATTGCAAAATTGTTCTTTAGAAATTTAAAAATGCAAATTCCGTAGAACAATTTACCAACAATTGGTTGTTCTGAAAAAGAACTATTTTCGGTTACAAAATGCAATTAAAATAAATAATCGTAGTATATGACAGTTACTCTTTTCGACCATTCTGGACCCTTTGATTCAGAATCAAAGTACTGTTGGGTACTACAGTATTTGAATCACATTCTAAAAGTGCGCGAGAAATATACATGACAAATATTTACAATTAAGAAAACAGGCAAACCGCTGAATAACAAAAGTTGTTTATATTTCAAATAACCTCGAATAAAGCCAAACAAGTGAAAATGTTGCACTGCCATATTGGTATTTGCGGGTTTAATTTTGCCAACAGAGCTGTGTCTTATGGCCCCTTGAGCTGTACATTGTAACACCTATTTACAACAACAATGTTGGCGAGCTGAAATCCACAATATAAAATAGAATAGAAATAATTAAATAATTAAAATAACAATAAACACATTAAAATAAATTAAAATAATGAATCCCCATATGCAACTAGTACAACAATAAACCAGACTATTTTTAAGAGGAATGAGTGATTTTTTCACCCCAGAGGGGTGGAAAAAATACTGAAATACTCACGAGTATAAAATGCAAAGTTATTCATTAGCAGTTCCATTACCTACTTTTTTGTTTTTATGCCATAACGTATTTATGCGAGGAGTAAAACTATTAACAATTTATGTCTTCTTGTAATTGTGTAGATATCAGACAATTAATACCGTAACCAATTAAGACCAAGGAGGGAGGTCATAGGGAAATGAGCCCAAACTATAATTTATATATTCTACTTCTATTCCATGGGGATAAATGTGGAACAAACTGTGAGATTAAATTTGACTATCACTCCAATATAATAGCTCAAATTTGTTTCATTCCAACAAAATACTGTAATTTCATTATATTTTCATCTCAGTTTCTGATGTTCTTTAACGTTCATTAGGGTATCAGCAAAATATCAGTGTTGTACAATACAGGGTGGTAAAAAAGTCCCAGGAAAGTTAAATATTTAAAAAAACAATGTAGACAGAGCTACAATACTTGGTATAAAGTTACAGGGCATAAAACTCTATTTTAACACATATTCAGTGATCCAATAACTCTTCAGGGGGACGGCCCACAAGGAGTCGGGAGAAAATCTTAAAAGGAAGCATAGGTCAATATGCACATCAAATTAAAGGTCTTTTTTAGTAGAATACAATGCCGCAAACCGCACTTCAAAAGGTTGATCCTGCGCAAAATGGCAGATGTTCAAAGATTTCTTGAATCCGCCATTTTGAATCTTTGAACGACTGCCATTTTTTACTCAGGCATTCTTTTGAGCTTGAATTTACTTGATGTACATATCGACATATGCTTACGTTAACAATTTTCTTCCGATTCCTAGGGCTGTGCCCCCGAGGAGTAAGCGTATAATGGCAATGTAAATTAAATGAATCTTTGAACAACTGTCATTTTGCGCAGGATCAACCTTTTGAAGTGCGGTTTGCGGCATTTTATTCTACTAAAAAAGAACTTTAATTTGATGTGCATATTGACCTATGCTTCCTTTTAAGATTTTCTTCCGACTCCTTGTGGGCCGTCCCCCTGAAGAGTTATTGGATCACTGAATATGTGTTAAAATAGAGTTTTATGCCCTGTAACTTTGTACCAAGTATTGTAGCTCTGTCTACATTATTTTTTAAAATATTTAACTGTCCTAAGACTTTTTTACCACCCTAGGGATTCCAAAGTATCGAAGAATCCAAATCATCTCCTTTTCATGTTTCCTTGTTTCATGCTTTTGATCACCTGAAAAATAGACTGCCTTCCGGAAAGCTAGGTGTTGTTAAAGCTACCTCTTCGACCAACAATTGAACAGTGTAAATAGTTAGAATTTGCCACAGTTGGCCCATATGAGTGGAATACCTACATGTATCCGAAAGGCAATGGTATATTCTACTATTGTAAAACTTCACAAATTGAAAATGTTTTCCGTTCTAGAGTCAATTGATCCGACCCTGATACTGATGTGAACCGTGTATCAATTAACCCCTCGTAATAAATTGCCCGTTACACCACATGTCAACATGGGGGGGGGGGGGTCTCCTCCCTAAAATGTACCCCTGGGATTGGGGAGTGACGGGCAATGTCCACTGCTGGTACTCGCTGATGGGAGGGGAGACGAGGGATTTCACAGACTTATTGGGTAGCTTGTAATGGGGATATGTGTGTAATGGATATACAAAACTGTTCGATCAGCTATTTCTGAAAGTTTTGCCTCGGAAACTGACCTTTCTAAACTATCTTTTAACATTTTTAGCTACTCACATGTCAAAAATTACTCTTTCAAGAGGTTGCTGGTCTCTTTTCCCTTGCATTTGCCGGTCAACATGGACCTCCTCAAAGACCTGAGCGTGAAACAAATGAAGCAGAGAAGGGGGCGATCTGATGTACAAAATGAAGTTTAACTGCAAGATGCAAACCACGGAACGTTGATACCTTGTATTCACATGTCGTCACAGTGCTGACTGAGCCACCAATTAGAATTATTCCTGCCAATATTCTGTATATGGACTACTACAAGGAAATGCATCTCTAAATTAAAACAGCCATAGTAATATAATTGAAGCACAATATAAAAATAAATATTTACATTGTAGCCTTTTGTAAGCATAGCCTAGTTAAAGCACAGTTTTCAGTTTCCAAACCAACCTTATGTATTATGTAGGTTATATGTAGGAATAAAAAAAAAAATAGAACACTGGTTAAAACTGTCTTACATAAGACTATTTTGGACCATAGAGGTCTACAGTTGAATGTTGTTTTTGACAAATTACCCATAAACCAATGTTTACTACCCATTATGGATATTTACGGTACAGTCTGGCAAATGCACGGTTAAAACGTCTACACTGGCTATATTTGTGGTACTTGGCCGTAAATTTGCATTTGTAACGTCGTGTGATTTTCCGTTACAGTTCTATAACATAAATCAGCTGATTCAAATGTGTGTCTAGATGTTAACCTGCTTGTGTTTAGATTGTTTACAACTTTTAACATTTCATCTTTGACTATTAATACAACAATTTCATACTTATATACTGTACTACAACTACTATCATAGATTAACCAACACAAGTAGACTTCTCATCCCATTGTAAATTGAAGCTCGTTTTTCATGTCTAGTTCATGTACGCCACACTGGGCGCTAGTGTCGACGAAATTTTTTTTTCTATTATTTTAGGGTTAATTTCTTGATTTGTGCTTTACTGTTTGGTTAAATAACTAGGGGACAATTTATTGTTTATGATTAGATCGTATTATTTGGTTAAACGAGGTTTTAAATGACTGTATTAACGGGAAACAAATTGTAAACAAAACACGACCTCTACATAAACCGTACAGAACTAACAATAAAATTGTCTTCAGCTGTTCCATTAGGATGAGAAATCTACTAAGGGAGTATGTTTTATCTATGCTACTATGCAACGAAAAACCAGCTATAGTTCGGCCGCTTAGAAAACGACCTGCGCGCTAATGCTAAACCAATGCTGGAGGAGGTCGCTTTCTAAGCGGCCGAACTATACATTTGCATTTCACTTGTAGGTTGTAAATAGTTATTATGAACT